CTGACTTGTAGAACTTTGTGGTAATTGACTGACTTACAGAACTTTTTATTATATTATATTATATTATATTATATTATATAGTGCGTGTGTGAAGGAGTGTGCAAACGCGTGTGCAAATGTGCACGCGCTGGGGTAATCGACTGACTTATAGAACTTTACAGTAATCGACTGACTTACAGAACGTACTCTGACATATTATTATATTATGTTATATTGTATTATATTATATTATATTATACGTGTGTGCGTGTGTGAGTGAGTGTGCAAACGCGTGTGCAAGCGCGCACGCGCTGGGGTGATCGACTGACTTGCAGAACAACTTCCGAGGACGGATGCTCTGATACGATATGATAATTATACGTGTGCGCGCGTGTGCGAACGCGCGTGTAAGCCCCGCCCCCCGCCCCGCCCCCCCCCGCGCACACTCACCGCGGCCGAGCCCCGCAGGAACGACAGCAGGTTCCGGCACACCGGCAGCAGCACCAGCAGGCAGTTGAAGTTCAGGCAGGCGGCGGGGGCGCGGGCCAGGGCCAGCCAGGGCTGGAACACGGAGGGGGGTGTGTGACCCCGTGCGTGACCCCGTGACCCCCTGCGTGACCCCGTGCGTGACCCCGTGCGTGACCCCCGGGACCCCGCCGCCCGCCCATCCGGGAAACTCCCCCGGAACGGAGCGAACTCCTATCCGTCCCGCAAAACCCCGCCCTCTCGGCCCCGTGCAGTGCACGAACTCCTATCCGCCCCTCGGAACCCCGCCCGCCCCGCGCCGCTGATGCCTCTTAAATTAATAAATATTAATTAAATATTTTTCTTTTTCTTTCTTTTTTTCTTTTTTCTTTTTTTTTGGGCGGGGGCGGGGGATGGAAATAGATTCCATTCGTTTTAAATCAATAATAAATGCGACGTTGTCGTTGATCGGAAACCCGATCGCTGTGGGGGCCCGAGAAAGGGGGAAAACCCATCGATAAATAAATCGATAAATAAATTCATCAACAAATCGATAGACAAAGCAATAAATCAATCAATGGACGAATCAATAAATCCGTCAATAAATTAATGAATGAATCGATAAATAAATGAATCAATATATGAATAAATCGATAAACGAATCGATAAATCGGTAAATAAATAGATCGATATATCGATAAATAAATCGATCGATAAATAGATAAATCGATCAATGAATCAATAAATAAATCAAAAATCGATAAATGAATCAATAAATCCATCAATGAATCGATAAATAAATCAATCAATAAATCAAGAAAAAAATCAATCAATCAATCAATCAATAAATCACTAAATCTATAAATAAATCGATAAATGAATCCATAAATCCACAAACGAATCGATCAATGAACCGATAAATCGATAAATCGATCAATAAATCGATAAATAAATCAAAAAATCGATAAATAAATCGATAAATAAATCAAAAAATCGATCAATGAATCAATAAATAAATCAAAAAAATCGATAAATGAATCAATAAATCCATCGATGAACCGATAAACAAATCAATAAATGAATCAATAAATCAAGAAAAAATCAATCAATCAATCAATCAATCAATCACTAAATCTATAAATAAACCAATAAACGAATCAATAAATCCACAAACGAATCGATCAATGAACCGATAAATCGATAAATTGATCAATAAATCCACAAATGCACCGATAAACAGATCAATAAATTAATCAATAAATCCATCAATGAACCGATAAACAAATCAATAAATGAATCAATAAATCAAGAAAAAATCAATCAATCAATCAATCAATAAATCAATCACTAAATCTATAAATAAATCAATAAACGAATCAATAAATCCACAAACGAATCGATCAATGAACCGATAAATCGATAAATCGATCAATAAATCCACAAATGCACCGATAAACAGATCAATAAATTAATCAATAAATCCATCAATGAACCGATAAACAAATCAATAAATGAATCAATAAATCAAGAAAAAATCAATCAATCAATCAATCAATAAATCAATCACTAAATCTATAAATAAATCAATAAACGAATCAATAAATCCACAAACGAATCGATCAATGAACCGATAAATCGATAAATCGATCAATAAATCGATAAATAAATCAAAAAATCGATAAACGAATCAATAAATCCATCAATGAACCGATAAACAAATCAATAAATGAATCAATAAATCAAGAAAAA